AATCGAAGGCGGCGACTGCGGTAGCGGCGGCTGAAGTCTGCGGCAGTAGGGGGCGGGTGGCGACAGCAGTTTGCGAATAGCATTTTACAGTATAACTCAAATTAAGCAAAATTGGTCAAATTCTAAATTCAGCCAAAATGAACTAAGGTATGAAATTCAAATTCATTCATTTTTTACATTGCATTTCTAATTCTCCATACTAAAAACACAATTTCCTAAAATCCCTATAAAAGAATTAGGGCACACTGCAAAACCTTTCAATCAAACAGCCCCTGCACCAAAATATTATTACTTGAGAAATTAACCTACATCAATAATCTCATTATTACATCAAAAATTAACTCTGCTTTCTTTTTCTTTGAAACCTACACAATTAACTTCGTATAATTCTTCTAAGAAAAATGAACTTATCAATATATTATCAAAATTTAACACCTCTATAGCAACATAATATCCCTGAAAAAAAAAATTGAAACTTTAAGATAATAAAATTTAAAAGTAATTTGATATGCAAGTACACCTTAAGGGTTCCTTCTTTTACCTCTTTCCTCTCTAAAATGTTCACTATCTCCGATTTAGTCCTCCTCACAGAAGCCCTAACAGATATTTGCATTCAAACTCAAATCGAAGTTAGGGTTTTCACTTTCAGTATGAAAATTTCAGCGAAATTTCAGCCAAAATGTTTTGGTGCCAAAAATCATACCTAAAATTAGCCTGGTTCCTCAGTGTCGAGGCCGTTGCCGATCACGCACGAGAGCTGTTGGGCACGCGGATTCTCCACTCGCCCGCTCACTCTTATCGTCTTACGCACGAGCGCTCATTTTCCGTCGGACGTCGTAGATTATAATTTTGAATTATTTTTCCCTTATTTTTAATATTCTTAAATAATTCAGAGATAACTCGCGATCTTTATTTTTAAATTATTTTAATATTATTAAAAATAACTTAGAAATAATATAAAAATAACTCAGAAATAACTTCGGTCACACGTAGAGCTACGTTAAGAATACACACAGAAAAATTTTTGCCTACGCACGCTCGTAAGACTGAATCATGTTTGCTCCAATTAGTATATAACACTCGGGGTGTTTGGCAGGGGATTTATCTGTCGTATTTATTAATCCCAATCAGTCAAATATGAGAGAATACAAGCACTATTAATTTATAAAATTTCAGGTTTAAGTTCTGAATTTTACTTTAGATTTATATTAAATTTGAATTTAATAAATTTATTAAGAGAGTAAATTTATTAAATCTGAATTTACTAAATCCTACTAACTCTAAATTCTTCCTCCAGCCAAGCCTCTTAGCACACTTTTAATCAGATTTAATCATGAATTTTATCTAAATCCATCCAAATGCCAAAAAATGTAAAACAAAATCCAACTCTCCGTTAAAGTCGTATCTCTCCCATTTCGTGTCTTTAGTGACGTAAATTTGGATTTATCAAATCATGGTAGGAGGCGGGTTAAAAGAATTTACGTCGCATTTTCTTGCGTACTCTATCTCCATCCTGAACTTACCGAAACCCGTGGATTTGATAAATCATATTGAGCTGTC